TTCATGGCATAGTAAACCATGTGTTTGTCAGATTCAAAATAGCCAATACCAGTCCATTTCAGCTCACTAATGTCTAAGATATCAATGTTTATGCATTCCATTTTTGACAACTTCCAATTTTCCCAGATTCCTGCTTCATACAGTCCATGTTCTGATTTACAATGGATGTTTACAGCTGTTTTTCTTCATTTTGAGTTGTGCCCCATCAGCAAATTAAGATCCCGCGGGCTTTTCTCCCATGAGCTTTACTCCATTGGCGTCATCACAGTCAGCTCTACTTTAAGGAGGTATCTTCCCCAGTTGCATTTTGAGTAGCTTCCAACCTGAGGGGCTCATTTTCCGGCACTATATCTGACAGTGTTCTCTGCTAGTCATAAGTTTTTCAGTGACTAAATATTCAGAAGTAGATCGTCACTTTCTTCCTAGTCTGTCTTTGTCTGGAAGCTCATCAGAAATCTGTCCACCGTGGGTAAACCTGTTGGTATTTAACATACTGGTGGCATAGCTTTCAGAAACACAGTAATAGGTACTGGTAAAAAATGCCAAGGCTTGTTTCTACCATATACCCCAAAAAAGCTAGGCCTGACTAAATTGAGAATGGGCATCTTTGTCACTCTAGAATGTATATTAACTTAAATAGGGATATGGTATTTATTTTAGCAAATAAATCTTTCAGAGTATGCACACCAGATCAAGACCTAGTTTTTGCTCGTAGGCTTATTTCAACAAAGATGTTGATCAAATCAACACCTGAAACTCACAGATTTTTGCTACATTAATACTCTAAACTTACCATGTCCGAACTGAATTAGTTGTATCTGGCCCAAATACAGTATTTCCCCACCACTCCCAGAGCCTCATTAACCAGAGCCTCAATCTTCCCTTTCCTCTGCCCAATTCATCCACCATACCACCTGCAACTGCCAGTAGTATCTAAAGTATCTTTTGAATTGGTCTTTATCTTTATCTCATTGACACAAGTTAGTGTATGCCTACCTGACCTCTCACCTGGATTATTGCAATATTTTTAACAGACTCCTACTTCCAAATATCTTTTAAATCACAGCCAGTTGGTATTGCAATGGTTAGATGCTTGGCTGCTAACAGGAAATGTGGTTTCAACCCAGCAGTTGCTTTAGGCTAGAAAAGACCAGTGGTGGTGGTTCATCAAGCCAGTTTCGGATCATAGTGTGACCCTGGATAAGGTTTCTGAGTCTGTAAATCTTTGTGGAAGGAAAAATCTTTTATTCCAAGGAGTAGCTGGTAGGTTTGAAATACTGATGTTGCGGTTAGCAGCCAAATTTACAATCCACTATGCTACTGAGGTTCCTCCAGTAACGACTGTTATTGTTAAGTACTTTCAAATTGGTTCTGACCCATAGAGACTCAGTGACGGTTTCCAAGGAGTGGTTGGTGAGCTTGAACCTACGACCTTGCTGTTCAAACTGACGTTGCAGTCCAGTGCATTGACCCATAGAGTTGTACCATAGGACACCCTATGGGCAGTTCTACTCTGTCTACATTGTCACTGTGAGCCAGAAAGACTCAATGGCACACAGGAGGCTTCATGAGCTCATCTTCCCGGAATACCACTTCTTCTCTTTTTTACCCTGTTCTTGTGAATTCTTTGAAATTTAGCTCAGTATTTGAGCAAAGATTTGAAGCAGGTGAAGGAAGAGCACACCACATAGAAGACAACTAGGAGTATAGACTCTATGGTAGCAGTTGCCTGAGGAAAGTCATGTTTGACAAAACCCAGGTTGGTGTGGCTTCAGCAGAGACAGGGCATGAGTAGGTGATGAGATCAAAGTGATAGAAAGAGTACAAATCAAGTAGGACTTTGTAGCACAATATTAAAAAGTTAGCTTTTAGTCTGAGAGAAATGAAATGCCATTTTAGGATTGTTTTTAAAATGATTAGTTTTCTGTCATGTTGAAAATAAGACTACGAGTGAAACGTAAAAGCAGGTAGGAGGCAGTTCCAGTAATCCAGGTGGAAGATGATGCTAGGAATAGGTTGGTAGAATGAGTGAAGTGTAAGAAGTGGCCAGATTCTGGATTTATTCTGAAAAGAAAAACAACTCACTTAAGAAAGTGAGCAGTTAAGGATGATTCCAAGGTTGTAGGCCTGAGCAAATCGAAGGATGGAATTGCCAACAAATGATATGGGAAAGTTTATGAGGGTATTGAGTTTTGACAAAGGAGTTATTTTATTTTGCACATGTTGAGTTTGAGATGTCAGCCAGACATTCAAGTCCCTGGGTGATGCAATGGGTTAAGTGCTGAACCACTAAACAAAAGTATGGTGCCACTTAAATGCATCCAGAGGTGGGTCCTGCACTAGACCACAAACAAGGTTGGCAGTTCAAACCCACCATCTGCTCCTCAGAAACTCTATACAGGGTCACTGAGTTGGAATAACTTGAAAGCACTTTAACTAGAGGTGCACTGAAGAAAGAGCTGGTTGGTGATCTACTTCCAAAAGGCCACAGCAATTGGCAGCTCTATGAAGCAGTTATACTCTGAAACACAAAAGGAGTTGGAATTGATTCAAAATCAACTGTTTTTTGTTTTTCTGTTTTATATCTGGTTTATCAGATATTCAAGTGAAGATGTGAAGCAGCCAGTTAAGTGTATGAGTCTGAAGCTCAAGAGAGATTAAATCTAGGCTGCCATGTAAATAGGTGATTATGCAAAAGTGTATGGTCTTTAAAGTCTTGAGATACAATGAGATCCATGGGAATGAGTATTGATGACAATGTCTCTCCTATAAGGCAAAAGGCTCCTTGAAAATAGGGACTGAGTTTGTCACAGTATTCAAAGCTCGTTTCAATGTCTAGTAGATGCTCAATGTTAGGATTTGTCATCTACAAGTTCATCCCACTGAATGTAGGAGAAAGAAACAAAACTCCCCCAAACAACAGAAAAACCACCACCAAACACAAATTCAAGGTGGAATAAAATGAACATTCTTCCTTGAAGTCTCACATTTTCTATCTTCTACCACAGCTCCATTCAACCAGTGGACTGAAATGGAGGTGAAAACATGAGAAAGCACTCAAGTGTGTGTACAGTTTTATACCTCAGAGGTAGAGAGGAGCAGTCAATCTGGAAATGATGATCACTATGCTGGGCCTAGGGTATCTCTAAAACGGACAGGAAAGTAGATTTTTTCTTCTGTTCTCTTCTAGGATTTCTCAAACAAGGAAACTTCAGCTTCCTAGATCTGGACACATGCAAGAAAATGATATGATGATTTTTAATTTAACTCTCTTCATATGTTAACTTTTCCTCATTGAAATTGTATTTTATTAAATACAGGGTTTCATAGATGCTAGGATGAGAGGAGACCTAGATGATCAGTCCATTCTTCTAATTTTACTAGTAAAGGAAAACAGTTCCCAAAGATATTCAGTAGCTTGCCAAGCCACACAAAGCTTGCTAGAAAAAAGTTAAGATTAGAGGTGAATCCTTTCCAGCATTCCTTCCACTTAGTCACACTACTTAAAGACTAATACCCACACATGCGTTTTATTCAGAGAACAAAATAATCATAAAATCCTATCAAAGTATACTTTTATTTAGCCTAGCACAGTAGAGAGGAACATATAGTTGCCAAAAAAATTTTTAATCAAATACCAGTGAATACTAGCCCCTGAAATTCAGTGTGCATGTAAGATTACTTACTATAAAGACTATCAAACCAGTAGAACAGTGATGATACTCTTTGATTTGATATCTCACATTTATCTTCTGTAACCTAATCAAATGGAGGAAGTAGGTGGTTCAATCTGGATACGAGAGATGATATTACAGGAAATATGCAAATCCAGGTAAAAATTATCAGCTGCTTAATTTCACAGAAAAGAATTGTCTTAAGAATATGATTTAGACTGAATGACTTACTCTAGGCCCGCAGATACTATTTTGAGGAGAAAAATACGAGGAGGTTTTAAAATGTTTGTGGACAAATGGAATAAAAAGATAATGTAATTTTTCCACGAACGTTTTCAGGCCTCCTTGGAATGCTTTCTTCTCACTTGAATGTTCTAAACACTTAACATGGTGAGCATTGAAAACATGGGTTTCATGATTATTCTAGAAAAAAGTACACAAATAAAGCCTTTTCAAAGGGCATGTGAAGGATAAGTATTTTACTTTCAGTGTGGATTTGTACCATGTCTTCTTCATGTATAAGTTTGTAGAACTACAGCTTTAACTTGAACAGAAAGCTAGTTATGTACTATAGTACATTTTACTAACTTAAAACCAATAATAAACCAACGTAAAATTTTAGAAGCAATACTATATAATGTTACCTCTAATTAAATCATGAAATTCAGTTAAGAGACTCTGGAGCCACATTTGTAATCACCCTTTACCAAGAAAATCATACAATGAGGGCATATCCTATACAACTTCCACCACAAAATCCAGCATGATACTCTAAACAAAAAACAGTTGATTCTGTCGAAGGGTAAATGGCAAGAGCCACATAAAACCCTAAAACCAGGTTCTATATCAGTACTACAAAGCAAAACTGGGAAATCTATTTTAGAACTCAAATCCTTTGGGACTTTCTTTTCAACATGTGGTTACTAAGTAAGGTCTATTACAGTTTCTTCCCTCTACCCAGTGCCAATTATATTTGCTTTTAAAAAATTAATTGTACAACTTTGAAGTTTAGTGGCATTTTATGCTACAAAGTTTTATTTATATAGTTTCTTAAATATATTTCAGTTGTTCTCACTATTGCAAATGAAAAATGACATCAAACAGATTAGATTTACAGGAAAACGTAAAGCAGAGAAAAACAATTCTACAGGTCTGATATATATATACAGTGTCATTAATGGTTGTTATTTTTACAGTCTTCTTTTTGTGATAATCCACTGAATTTTTCTGCTGATAGCATTTCAGAGTGAAGTAGTCTTCAAAGACAGATTAATAAAGAGAATCAAAAGCCCAGCAGTCCAATATATGTTGTAGGTGTCATCTGACAGTCCATGAGGCGCTGCAAATCATTTTTCCCCCATTTTTCTCCAAAAGGATTAGATGATGAAGAATTATGACTTTCACCACTACTATACTGCTCATATAAAGTCTGAAATTAAAAACACACAAGTTTTGTAATTTAAAAATTTCAATATTATCAGATTAGTATATTATATTCTAAATATCATACATTTCTTTCTCTATTATAATTGAAACGGAGAGGTAAGAGAATTTGAAACACCTAAGCTTGGACTTTCTATAAGGTATATATATATATACCTTGATCCCTTTTATCTTTTCTTAAATCAAGTCTGTGACATATATATTGCTATAGTATAAAACAAGGAACCCTGGTAGTGAAATGAGTTACAAGTTGGACTGCTAACTGCAAGGTCAGCAGTTCTAATCCACCAGCTGCTCTGCAGGAGAAAGATGATTCCATAAAGATTTATAGCTTTGGGAAACTCTATACAAGGTCACTATGAGTTGGAACCGACCTGATAGCACACATCCACCACCACCATAATGTAAAACATGCTCATTAGGAAACATCATATATACTCTCAGATAATATTGAAATAATGAACAGGAGATATTAAAACACACAGAATGTTATATAAATTAAGAATTTAAAACCTATGCATTAAAAAACAGATTTAAGCCTTAGCCCACATCCAATTTTTGAAGATCACACATCTTTGCTCTAAAGTGTAACTAATCCACCTGAACTTTACTTATAAAAGGACTTAAACAATACATTGGTAGATATTAAATATACAACAAATTTCTAAAACAAATATTGTCCAATTTAAATTTCTTAAACCACTGAGTCATCTGTTGGTACTTAAGAAAATTAAAGTGTTATTTCTGTTCTTTTTCTCATGTGAATAAAAATATAATAGTGAATTCTTAAGAAATGTTCTGACACCTCAGACTGGCTTTACACTGACTTAGAAAACTAAAAAATTTTCAGTTTGAGCTCCCATCATTTTATAATAAAGAATGATATAAATGAATTATAATTAGCAAAGGCTTAGTTAGGTAAATATTTATATTTATGGTTTGGTTAAGTAAGCCAGTTAGTATTCATAGGTTTCTAGAAAGACGTAGATGCTTGATAATGATGTTAGAAAATCATGTTAGAGATACAAATGAGAATTGGAAAGCTGAAAGGCTTGAGATGTTTGTTTTGAAAATACATTAAATGTATGTGTCTTCACAAAAGTCATTACATGTGATAAATACTGTTATTTCTTTATGAAATAAATTTTAAAGAAAAAATTGACAAGGAAAGAATCCAAAAGCTGTGTTAAGAGTACTTTAAAATATGTTCCTTTATAGAATTTGTTCAAGTTAAGAATAAATTCAAAAGACGGTAATCTTTAAAAAATCCTCTTGATGTGACAATCCAGTTGGAACTGTTGTTTATACAGTAAGAATGAAAATCAAGTAAATCTATTTGTTAAAAGAACTAGGCAATCCTATTTCTTTGAGTGTCTAATTCAGTAAACTTCATAAAACAGTTAAGTTTAATGTATATACAGAATAAACATACTTACTCTAGCAGCTTTCAAAATGGAGTTAGGAGAATTCAAACCAACAAGTTGGCCCAGAACATATTTCATTTCATCAGAAGTTCCCTTACCCACCTGGTTACCTATAAAACAAATGTAGCAAATAACACACTGGTACCAACAAGAAAAATAAGAGACCACAAGTATAGGAATACACATTCTAATTAACAGCATAATAAACGGCATTCTTACAATTTATCGCTAAGAGAAGTGAAAATAAATGCCAATGATTAAAGAAAGGCAACTTAATTTACTATTTAAAATAATAGGAACACTTTTAAAGGAAGAGGGGGGCTGGATGAAAGTAGCCAATTCAGATTATGTTTTTGTAGTAGCTAAAAGGCTGTTTACATTAGCTTCTTTGGTTTTCTTAGGAAAAGAAGTACCTGTATGAGTTTGAATTTGAACATATGGATGCACCAAGAGCTCAGGAATGGATATTCTCTGTTTAGGATCCCGAATTAAACAGCACTATAAAAATAAAGATTAGTTTTATAAAAAGATAACGCATGTTTTCTTAAGTGATACTGGTATAGTATTTTTCCAGATTGTACCATATTATAGAAGTTGTTTTATATATATACCCACTCAAGTGGATGGCAATGTTAAGATTATTTCCCCTAAATCACTCCTGCAAATTACCAAGTATTCATTAAGTCTTAAGCACCTTCAAAGTGAAATACAAGTTAATAAGCTAATCAAGTAAACAATTTCCTTCATTAGACTAGCTATAGCTAAATTATTTATATGATCCCAATCATTTCATCTACTAAAGGATTACCTTCAACACATCTTGAAGATCTTTCTCTGGAATATCAGGAAATGCAATTTCATGATTGGGGTCAATTATGGCATGTAATTTAGAAATCTGATTAATAATGTGCTGGAATGGTGTTTTCCCGTAAGTCATATAATAGAGAATGCATCCTAAGGACCAAACATCACTTTTAGGACTTATCTAAATTAAAAAACAAAACAAAACAAAAAAGTTATTGTTATTATAATACGAAACACAAAGAAAGAACATTTTATACTCATATAACATATTCGTTGTTGTTGTTAATGACACTGAGTTGGTTCCAACCCTGTCTAGGGTTTCCAAGGAGTGGCCAGTGGGTTTGAACTGCCAACATTCTGGTTCACACTCCAGTGCTGATCCTACAGCACCTTACAAGGATGTTAGTTGTTGCTGATGTTAAGTGCCGTTGAGTCGATTCCGACCCATAGCGACCCTGTACAGGGTTTCCCGACGCTGTAAATCTTTACAGGAGCAGAAAGCCTCATCTTTCTCCAGTGGAGTGGCTGGTAGTTTCGAACTGCTGACGTTAAGGTTCGCAGCCCAATTCATAACCACTACGCTACCACGGGGTTTCAAAAGTTCATGGATAAATGGTATTAGATGATAATTTTTTCCTAAGCTTTTTAAAGTCCCCTCATACATATGCATATGTTGTTGTTAAGTCTCCTCGTGTTGGTTCAGACATACAGCAACCCTGACAGGGTTTCCAAGGACCTTGTGTTTCAAATCGACCTTGCAGTCCAGTGCTTTATCCCACTGGGACTCCATATATGTATATACTTGGGCATATTTAAAATCGTAATAAAATCTCAAAAAGTACGCAGGGTACATGGTAATGAAATTAAGTACTAGATTACATTTACATGAAAACACATCTTTTTCTAGCTGGGTTATTTCAAATGTGATGAATCTAACTTTAAATCTTTTAAGAAACTCATAATTTAACAGGTTGGAAAACTTAAGGTTAGTTGTATTGTCAAGAATTATTAGAATGAATGTCAAGAATTATTAGAATTATTATATAAATTCAAACCTAGTAGTATGTATACATTTTTAAAGTTACTTTGGCTGAGCTATTCAAAACAATGAGTCCTTGTGTGGTGCTGCAGGTTAATGTAGAACAAATGGAATGGCTAAATTCCTCTTTCAAAAGACATATGCAAATATACATTAAATGTTCTCTCCACAGAAAGACATCTTAAAGAAATAAAAGTTGAGGAAGGGGAAAATGAACAGGAGATGAAGATATTTTATAGTGATAACATGTATTCAGTGAAACTGTACTCCTGGTATGGCACTGCAGGATCAGCATTGGACTGCGAACCACAAAGTTGGTAGTTCAAACCCACCAAAGGTAGCTATCAATTGGAACTAGCCTGATAGCACTTAACAACAAAAATTTCACTGACATTACATTTAATAGAATTGTAGTAAGCAAAACTTACTTTGAGAGGTAGATTTTAAAATGTTTTTCAGAATATGACACATACATTTTTTTTCTAAACAGAGAATTTGTCTAAAGACTAATCTCAATAAGAAAGATACAGTTGAAATATAAAGGAATTTATACTCCATGTAAAAGATGATCATTGAAATGCCACAAAACATAAAAATGATTCATTAATAAATGATATCTATGAATTAAACACTAAAGATCGAAGACCAGAAGAGTTGTGGGATGACATCAAGAATATCATACATGAAGAGAGCAAAAAGTCATTAAGAAGACAAGAAAGAAGGAAAAGATCA